ATTTAGCCATCGATCCTTCATCTTATATGAAGTTTAGCATATTTTCCTCCACTGTTTAGCTTCAGATAATCTATGCAAAATGTACTTAGTCGAATAATAGGGAAGGTCAATACGTAATAGACCTTTTGTTTAAGTTCTAAGCGATACCTATGGTTATCTGAAAATATGCTCCATTTTTTAGGCCTTAACAAACAACTTTTTTCTATTACTGTTTGTTACTTTAAGATGTAAATCATTTTCTAGTGCTTATAGAAAATAAGTTCAATCGACTTGTCATTATTATTAAAAATTATCCATTTCGTTTGAGTAACGTCTATTATTATTTATCACAAGTCAAGAACTTTCAAATATGTATAATGCACAGTTCTGTGGAGAATAGTTACGAACAACAATATATGTTTTTTTTTATAAAGAGTTGGAAAGACGATCAAGTTGTATAATTTCGAGGATCTAAAAAAGAAATTCAGCTCACTATAGGACAAGATGTACGAAAGTGAGTATAATAAAAGAAACATTTAAAAAATACGATAAAGAATGGCTTGATACATCACTTTCTTTCCCACGTATTGTATCAAAAATTGAACGCGACCGACCGGATGCTTCTTTCGAAAACGCAACAAATGATGATGATGATGACGATGCCGTAACGTATCGTCAATAATTAAGTATGTATTATAACGCTTATGTTATGTTGGGATACTTTTAATTATTTATTTGCCTTGTCATATGTCATATCTTTTATAATTTGATCAATATTCCTGAATATTTAAATATTTATATTTGTCTAAATCTTTAATTTATCTATATATAGGCTGCAGAGTAATATTGTTTCCCGATAAATCTAGTGAACTAAAACGTTACTATAAATTGGGAAATATACTTTTTCTGTAAAAAGAAATACTTTAGGTGCTTTTTTAAGTAAGTAAAATAATTTTTTTTTCCAAAATAATTTTTTTAAATAGTAGATATGTTATGAAAACATTCTACTTTAGAAAGCCTAACAGTCTTAGTTTGTTTGATGATAGTTACGAGGGTCTCCCCCAGTGTGCATCTGTATGTCTTCTTCTTCCATAATTTAATAATGTCCGATATATGATCGGACAACTACTTCCTTCGCCTTTCGCTTAGCTGCGCCCATGGAACTGCATGATTTAGTAGATACCTATACGTATAAATAAGCCGCCAGAGCAGTGGTCTGAACATCAGCAAATGAAGATAGGTATTCGTAATTGGGAGATGGTATGAAGTCTATGGTATCTTCTCTGATGATCTTGATGAAGGCATTCTCCTCATTGCTCTTCGAAATATATCTACTGTTGGCCTTCTGTTCGCTGTAATTGACCAGTACGTTCTCTTGTCTTGCGCATCTCTCTAATCAACGTAAATCTTAAAACAAACAGTCTCATTCTTAGATTCGCTTTCAAAGTTTCAACATCGCATCGGGTGATCGTGATAATTTTGTAATGACATTTTTTAACAGCAGTCATGAAAGCAAGGCCTAATACCTAAATACCACACTATTTTAATTTATTTATATTTACGATTTTCAAACTGATAAACGTTTACAGAAATCGAAGCTTGTTCTAAATAGTTTAGCTTGGAATATTATAAGCTTCATTCTAATGATTCCACCTAAGCAGGCTCAATTGTAAGGTGAACAAGTATTTCGGACATCAAGTCTGGCTGTTCAGTCCACGGACTTCTTTTTGCCCTAGAGCGGCGAAGTAAATTTATCGGCTATGCTCATTGACCACGAAAGCTATCTGTATTGATTTGAAGTTTACTTACCCTGTCGACGATCGTAGATAAAATTTCGGCTGTGTTTCTGTGTCTGTATTGGAGGATGCTGCGCTTCTCACATTGAACTCTAATTTAATAAACTGCCAGTTTATTCAATAGATACGTAAATAAATATTTTGGAACAATTACCCTTCTACAAACATACTGAAGAAACCGTGAGACTATTAAAAGTAAACAAAATGGTTATAAGAAACAAGCAAGGACTGAGTCAGTTTACTTGAATCAATTTGAGATACCAGTATATTCGCTCCATGGCCAAGATTTGTCATTCTGCAGGCATACAAGGTTAATAATACCTCGTAGAATCATTCTCGTTTTGGTTGCACAGAATAATTACTCATTCTAGTGCATCCCCATATAAAGAGAGTGCAGATTAAATACAAAGATGGTTAATTTTTCACGAACAACATAACAGGCAATCTTTACCTTGATTCTAGTCACGTATCTTGGACGGTCAAGTCTGAGGGCCTCTCGGCTCGGATACCAATTAACATGAGCGTGGATGCATACCAAATAAAAAAAAATTAATGCATACATTATCGTATTCTACCTGAAGATAGCCAACCTAATGCTATTTACTCGCATCCAAAAAATTATCCGAGGTAGCGTCATCTATGAGAATTTGTCACAGCTGTTTTCTGTTTACTATATAAAGTTAGTGTCTCATAGATGGCGCTGTAGTCCATTATGCGCCATCTATGAGGCACTAACCTTTTTGAAGAATACATTGTAAACAGAGAAACAGCAGTCACAGATTCTGATAGATGCCGCTAGGCGATCTCATACTATCTGGGATAATTTTTCGGACACCGAGATATAGCATTATGTTGGCTATCTTCTGTTAGGATACGTAAATCAATATATATATAAAGAGTGGCGGACATACGGGTAGAAGGCTTCGTATATTTGTAATATTTTCTTGATTCAATTTATAATTTAATACTCACGAACAACATTCACATTTTCTTGAAATTTGGGTATCTTGAACGGAGCGCTTTTTATACAGAAATTTGTTTTTCCAAAATTCTATTTTCTACAAACGCCTCGACGACCTCGACGTCAAATAAGACAATTGATCTCAAAACATAGTGACCTTGGAGAATTGACCACAGGATGCGCTGCGTTGCCATATTTCGCCACCTGAGAGGTGTCTAGTACAGTCACATCGTGGTTGACTGATTTTGAAGTATATTAACAGTTTTTTTTTAATGAAAATGATCATGCAAAATGGTGTGCACTGTTGCGGATCCTACCTCAAGGGTTGTCGGCGACTTACTGATAAAGGACTGCTCTTTCTAATAGTGCACTGTTACCGGTTTTAACTAGTATATTTCATTTTTAATTTTGTTTTAGAAAATACTGTTCTAGTCACTGTTTTTGTTCATTTGTTGTTTTTAATTATTTATTGTTTATGTTATGTTATTTAAGCAAATATACCTTTTTATTTTTTTTATTTTCAATATCATAAAACTTTTTAGCTCTAACGTGTATAATTTACATGTTAATATATTTCAAATCACAGTTAACCACGATGTGACCAGACACCTCTCAGGTGGCGAAATATGGCAACTCAGAGGTGTCAAAGTCGCATCCATTCCGTCCTGTGATCGATAATCAATATTCTGTGCTCTATTCTCCAACTCTTGTTCTGTGTTGATAATTGGCGTCGAGATGTTGCTAGAAAATGGTGTTTTGGAAACATTAATTTCCATAAAAAAAGTTCCCATCCAAGATTTTTTCACTGCAGAATTACATATTACACTGTCGTGTACACGTATATGTAAAACTTTAGCAATCTCAGATTTATATGTTGAGCTGGATACGTTGCGGGGTATTATTGCACAAACTGGCAACACTCAGAAATGGCCGCTATGACATAATTCAGGCGAGCTGCCCTTGAATAGCGTGGACCGAAGAATTAAACTTCTTCACTATATATGTTTTATGTCCCCACCAGTCATAAAACTTAACCACCAATATTTTATTACTATTATATTTTTTTAGCTGTTATTTTTCAGTAATTACTAATAATTTTAGGTCTATGTCTATAGTAATTCCATGATGCACCACGGAGATGTAGGGATTGACACGTTTTACACATGCCGGTGTTTTATGATGGAGTATATAGTGTTTTGATTGCTTTGAAGAAATTGGGTGACCCCTAAATTGATAATAAAAATGTATTACTATAATGTAACAAATTATGAGGAATTGATCAGAATACATTTTATATTATATTTTCGAGCAAAATACAAACATTTCAACAGGTATGTATCTATAATGATAACATGTATAAACACTCAGTATATTGAACCCAACAAATTCGAGATTGCCATGCATTAACAAACGTCCAAACCTGTTATTAAATTTAACAGTTAGAAAATCGACCTATTATTTGTCGCATTCCCGTTGGCTTAAAGATAACCGAGCATCATGTTGGAATCAAAAAGTGCTCTTGATTATAATACAATCGCTTTATCGCCATTTTATTCAATATTTCAATAGAAATCGCTGATATTCAGAGAGCTTTGACAGCTTCCGTCAAATTGGATTTCGATAAGGTCTTTTCCAATTGGTCCAAACTGATGGTCAAATACTAATGATGGTGAAATTGCCCCTTAATGTTTTATTATGTTATTGTCCAAGGGACATGCAACAAAGTGCTTTTTATTTTTTATCTCGCAAACGAAGCGAGATATGAGAGAAACTTAGGAGACAAAAAAGTTGTATTTTTAACTGCTTAAATTAAAAAAAATGGAACAATTCAAAAAAGCCACACACATTTTTTTGTCAAAGATATTGGTTAGGGTGTTTTTCGGGACGCCACTGAACTTAATGATTTAAATCTATTTAGGGCTAAATTAGCCCCTTAAAATCGATTGAAAGTTTATCAATATAAAAAAGTTTGACGCTCTGTATCTTGAAAATGAAGCATTTCTGAACTTATATTTTCTCCTTAAAATTACGCAAAGAATCACCTCCTGAAGTTTGGCCACGTACTTAAATAACACCCTGTATAGCCTGTCAAATTTGCATCCATATGATGGGCACTTCGTTGTATCTGCATCAAATGACGGACCACCATGTAAAGATGAAGAGCGGCTTCACAGGTATCCACGATGGTGGGAAAGAGATTGCTGCGCTTTGGGTCGTGTACGAAAGACGAGGGACCGGCCTTGCCAAGGCTACCGTCGTACCATCGCGTCGGGCACCATCGGTGGGTACCATCAGCCGTCGTCAGTTTATCGCCGCCGTCGTGTTTGGGTACTTCTTCGTCGATGATGCCAAATCGTTGACGATCGGTGGTGCCGCCAGCTGTGGTACTGCACTCATGCGATAGTGGCACTGATGCAAGTCAGTGGTACCATGCCCCTGTGACGATGTGATCTGTTATAATTTCGTGTAGTGATCTGTGGTTATTGTTCCTTTGGTTCTGCCTGCCACAGGTACGTTGGATTACTAATCATTTTATAATATAATATATAATATAATATATTTACATTATATATAATATATATATATATATATATATATATAATATAATATATTTTATTGCCCAACAGATACATCCATTTAAAGGATAATGTAATTGAATACAATTTGATGTTACAATATTTTCAACTACAATCATAGCTCACCCATTTTATGAAAAAAAATGAATAGCTACACCTACTCACCTACATGTCTTAAATGTTATAAATTGAATAATAGTAGTCGCTGAATACAGCTAATATATCTTTGATTTTATCATGATGAATGTCACAATTATCAGCTATGGCGTTAAAGCTGGAGCACATAAAGTACACGGGTGACTTAATCATAACATTAGAATTTGGTGTTTTTAAGTAAAAAGCGAGAAATCTTCGGGAAATGCGGGACGGTACATGAAAATCAATTTTAGCTAATAAAGCTGAAGAATCAACATCACTGTGTACGAGTTTCTAAAGGAATGTTAAACTATTACAAACTCTTCTCAGCTCAAGAGGATGCATTTCAAATCTGAGCAACATTGCTGATTGGGGAGTCCCACGATTGGAATAAACACTATCTAATTTGAAAGTCAAGTATTTAAGAAATCTCCTCTGTACACTTTCAATTTCATTAATATAGATTTGGTAATATGGGTGCCATACACTAGATTCATATTCCAGCTTAGAACGCACCAAGGTGCAGTATAAAGCCTTCAGTGTCGTTTCACAACCAAACGATTTACAGTTTCTTATAAAAAAACCGAGACTTTTTATAGCGGATGATACTATTGTACAAATATGACCTGTAAATTCTAATTTAACATCAAACAACACACCTAGATCTCTTACTTCTGAACAACGCATCAAACTGACACCTTCTAGTGTGTAATCAAAAACTATTGGATTCGTTTTCCTGGTAAAAGAACAGGTTTTGCATTTGCTAACATTCAAAAATAATTTATTATTTGATCACCATTCAAATATACTAACATACATATACATATAAATCCGAACACCCAGTTTAAATGGTTTTATTTTAATAAAATTTTGTATAAGTACTTAATGAAGCATAATAAGTAAATGATAAAAATTTCAAAATGATTGCACTGCTTTAAAGCCCTTTGACCTTTAATAATGTGAGGATGTACCCTGATGTGCTACGCATTCTCCAACGCGCCTAGGCATACTTCTGATCAGGTGGTCAATGTCCTCCTGTGGTATCTCATTCCAGGCAACCACCAACTCCTCTCGAAGTGCTTCTAGAGTCTGAGGAGGACGTTGCAAATTGGGCGAACTCCTACCCATCATATCCCACACGTGCTCAATTGGGGATAAGTCGGGAGATCTTGGTGGCCCTGGTAACAATGTGACATCATTATGTTGAAAGAAGTCTATGTGACTCTTGCAACATGTGGTCGGACATTATCTTGTTGGAAAGTTGGATCTGCCAGGGTGTCAAGATAGGGTAAAAGATGGGGTTCTAAAACTTCGAGGATATAACGCTGCGCGTTCATGTTACCTCTGATGAAGATTAAAGGTGACCTGGAACCATAAGCTATAGCACCCCAAACCATAACTCCAACAGTGTGATGAACATGTCTTTCAACAAAAAATGTGGATTCCTCCTTTCACCACGTCGCCTTCTAACCCTGGCACGACCATCGTGCATGCCTAAACAAAATGGAGACTCGTCACTAAAGACAATACTGTTCCATTCCTGATCCCAGAGTAACCGTTGTCTGCACCACTCAAGGCGATTACGTCGGTGTTCTCGAGTTAAAGGGAGGACCCAGTGTGGCCGGTATGAAAACAAGCCAAAACTTCTCATTCGTCGGTAAACACTTCGCATGCCAATAGGTCTTCCGTGTTCTGCAAACCATTCATTTGCAATGGACCTGGTAGTGGAGAAACGATCCCTTAAGGCCAATAATCTTAGGCGGCGATCTTCACGGTCTGTTGTTCTACGGCGGCGTCCAGTGCCCCTTGCTCTTTGCGTACGGCATTCTCGAAGCCATGCCTGACAACACCTAACCACAGTGTCTACACTTCTTTGCACTCTAACTGCAATTGCCCGAAAAGAAAGTCCAGCTTCCCGAAGTCCCACTATACGGCCCCTATCAAACTCACTAAGTTGACGAAATCGTACAGGTCTCCGTACTCTAGGCATCGTAACCGATCGTAAAGGATGTCAAGAACCAAAATCCGCCAACGTTGATTCTTTACTGCGGCTGAAATATTCATTTTTAGAGCGTTAGTGAATTAAAAAAAAGCAGTATAAAAACCGGCCACATTTACACGAAATGGAGTGCACAATTCCCACAACATTTTTGGGCAGTAGAAAATCCGCATGCTGTAAAAAGAACTCGTTTTCAGCATAGATTTTCCAAATGTTTGGGCTGGCGTGGTAAATGGCATGTTTCTTGGACCCTACTTGCTTCCACCTCGACTGACCGGTGAAATTTATTTAGATTTTCTTCGACACAATTTGCCACAATTATTAGATGTTCCTCTAAATGCGAGACCGAATATGTGGTTCCTATATGGTGAAGCTCCACAACATTTTAAACGAGAAGTTCATGAACATCTAAATCATGAGTTTCCGAATAGGGCGCAATGGATCCATTTCTTGGCCAGCTCGCTCCCCGGATTTAACGCATTGCGATTTTTTTCTGTGGGGCTATTTGAAAGAGTTGGTGTTTTATGATGGAGCAGTAAATACTCTGGAAGAACTTCAACAACGCACTGAATATGCTTGTGACTTAATTCGTGGACAACAGAATTTTTTTTAATTATTATTATTATTATTATTATTATTAACCTTGTAAAGAGTCGTGGATTCACCGAAGAAGATTTTACGTTAATCGAGCAAATGGGGACAATTTTGAACAGTGTTTGTAAAAACGGTATTTATTTAACATGTTAATTATATTTTTTTAAATAATTTTTAATAACTTTTTTTAGGTGATTTTTGGTATATCAACTTATTTGACGAGTTCTAAAAGCTGTTAAAATAAATGTCTGAACTGATTCACTAGGCTTAAATCCTGCACCTTTAATACGCGAGTCTACTAATTACTATCAGCCACAGAGGTTCAGATCAGGATCGTAAAGAGGCTGATCGATTTCCACCAAAGGTTATTTAAGGATTCAACACAGGGAACTCTTAATTCATGAATTCCTTTTCAAGCTATTTTCGCTAATATTCTTCAAAACAAGTTCCCTCTTTTTTTTAATTTGAACTCTTGTCTCGAACCATTTGTGTAACCAAGTTCTCAACACCTGCTCTATTACCTGCGGGTACTTTACTCCCTCAGCTACTGTACTACTTTGTGAAAAGACCATATTATTGTGAAATATTATTCAGTTTGAGCTCAATTTAGATTAACTTTATCGCAATATCTGTGTATAGTGAAGTAAATGGGGTTCCGCGTGAGCGCCGTAACCCTAAGGCGCATTTTATATGTAATATTCGTCATAGAGATGGGCGGTATGATATGTAGTATTCATTAGATTATTCGATTTATATATATATATATATATATACTACTGTAAGTTAAGTCAATTTAAATTCATTTTACACTATTGTTGCTAATGTTATCATTCTAATTGCGGCTCCTGATGATGATGGCAAAGTCCATTGAAAGCTAGAGACAATTAAAAAAAGTATAAAGAGTCCTCTTTGCTTAAATTTTGTCGAAGTACCCAACAAAAGGCGGAAGCTTTAATTTTTCACCTAACTGGTCTAGACGACAATGACACGTCTCAAGTTATATATATATATATATTATAAGTACGGAAATGCTTTTTTCCAAGATAGCCGATTTTTTTAATTGCGTTTCTTTTTCCATAGAAATCATAATAACACATTAGCCGACTTCGTTGAAATATATGTGTATATGATTGGATAGGAGTAACACAGCAATAATAACCAACGCTGTAAGGAAAAAATCAACAGGCTATGACAATTTTTGGTTTTAATTTTTGACGTCTATCAAATTTTAACTAAATTAGACAAAGTTTTCTATAAACATAGCACCCAAAGCGGAAAAGCACCTGCGGTACTGAAAACAGTAGCAAAACACAAGCTATATAAGGCAACACTTGTGCGATGGAGTAAGGACACACACTGTTAAAACGAACTAAAAATTCAGAATATTTTTTTCGGATTGGAAATATTCCGGGTTAATGTTTAAATAATATTGAAGCTCCTTTGTCTCAAGTTTTTAAATCAGTCAAACATATTTCTGTTAAACAACTAAATAAAACCTTGTTTTTAAAAATGTCTTTTGTTTATACTATATATTTATTTTTAGTATTTACGTCGTTAGCTAGTTTTATAATTTATATCTAATTTACATATATTACATATATTTTATTGATAGGACGTCTTGCTTTATTTATTATTATAAGATTTCGATTGATACAAATCAAATATTTGTATTACGTAAATATGTGAGACGTACTTATATGCAATTTTGTTTGCAACCTTTGATCCTACTTCTCATGTAACTGTCGTTCACAGCTTTTACGTATTCTATGTCATCAATCATGATCCCTGAATAAATATCATAATAATAATAATAATAATTATTATTATTATATGTGTCCTTGCTCAACTGATTAAAGAAATAAAGCGTACCTTATATTTTAATGTACTATCTAATGTTAAAAAGCTGGAATTTGTATGGTGGCTTTCGATGAGTATTTTGCATACCAGAGTATTTCTTAAGAAGATCAAATGAATCCCAACTCGATGGTTTTGCGTCGATTTATTACAGAGTTCCCATGGCCACCTCTTGGCTTCATCTTCACATCAGCTCCATGTCGTAATAATATTTAGTCTAGTCATATTAGCAAATTTCCCCGAAATAATTGTAAAGTCTAGTTTTATTGGTGCAAGTTATTCAACATAGTATTTAAAACACGGACGCATAAAATGGGTACACCAATTTTTGTGGGAAATTTATTTACGAGTA